ATGAAGACTGCAATCAAGGTAAAGACGATTGCGGTGGCGTACAGCAGTCGTACAGTACAGTAAGCATGCGTGAGTCTGTTATAATAATGTGTGTATGAGTGCTCTTGACGCAATGATCACACATTGTATTTATGCACTGCACAGACATTTTTGTACATTCACGTTGTTTCCACACACATTCACGATAATGTTTTGATTTGTCATGTTTATGTTGCTGTGTTTAGTTATTCTGAATGGATCTGTGTACTGTAGTAGATATATGCAGTCAGCAGTCGGTTGGTTTAGGGTTTTTTTGGCATCTCCATGGGGTCCTGTTCGGTATCGCAACTTGGCTTCTCTAAAATGTAAAAAAGCTCTTTGCTGTTGCACTGTACACATACTATAAAATTCAGATTTTTTTTCTTCTTTCATATGTGCTTATATGGGCTCCTTATATCATTTGGTTCTTTGGTGTCCTTATGGAGTTTCTAAGTGTTCTTTTTTGGAAAGACATCTAAATTAACCTTGAAAAAAGCTTGCAGAAAACATAGATTTTTGAGAATCACCTTTCAATCTTTTGGGTTACTTTGCTGGATATAGCAAAGGATGACAAAAACATTTGAAACAAGATAGATAAATGGTCTATGCTTAATTTCACGAAGTGTGCGATTAATCGCGATTAACCACAGAAAAAGGATGTGAATAATCAGATTAAAAATTTTAATCGATTGACAGCCCTAATATATATACTGTATATACATACACTGTACATACATATATATATATATATATATATATATATATATATTATAATTGGAACTTGACTATAAAACTGATCTTTTTAGACCACTGATTTAAAAAAATAGGTAAATCATGAATTTGTTGTTAAAATTCAGGGTGTTTTTCTATCACTGGCTTGTACAGCATGATTTTTCTGTCGTCTCAAAGCTGCTTTGAAACAGTGTTATACAAATAAACTAAATGTAAAAAAATATATATATTTAAAAAATGTCTATCATAAGATGATCAGCATTAACAGAATGAACAAATATGAAACATCATATGAAATGCAACATGTCTTGGTTGATTGATCTCACATTCTGAATGTGAGAAAAAAACAAACAAACCTTTGAGCATTGACGTGCACAAAGAATTTGAAAGCTTACATGCATGCTAATTCAAAGCACTGCTTGATATGCATCACAGACCAAGACAGAATCTGGCACACATGGTTTGTAGAGAGACTGATGTTGAAATGGTGCCTGAGAAAAATCCTGCTGCCCAGCTGAGGTTAGCCATCAGCCGGCAGCCTGTGAGAAAGCGCTGCTGCACTCATGCAGAAAACATTCCCAAAATGTGACACATTCACCCTCCTCCAGTCCCCCTCCCGACCGACTGCATGCCCCTGGAGGTTGGCTCTGACGTCAGTAGCTGAACTGGGCCGGCCGCCAACCCTGTGGGCCCTTGATGGATGTGATGGGTCGAGTAGAGCGGGCCGCGGCATGAAGCATGCTGTGCACAGAGAAGCCAGTCCCGCTTAAACAGCCCTAATGACCCGTAAGGACCCAGCAGGACCCCTCTCCCATACTTCCTAACCCTTTAGCCTTCTGCAATCTTTGCTGCTCAGGTTACATACACACAGACACATGCACAGGAGAAGTGTGCACATCAAGTGTATTGATGTAGTTTGGTTGATGCAAAGACTAATGTTACACCAACCAATAATCTAAATCAAAACAGAACTTTATTGTGCCATATACTGTAGATTCCTGTCCATATGGAAAATATAGAGTATATGGCTATTAGATTAAGATATTAAAATTGAATTTAATTAATACATGTTTTGCCTTATGTGTATGAATATTTGTAGTAATGAGCAAGCATACAAAATGTATTACATTCTGAAATGTACAACCAATATCTATCCAAATAGAAATATGCAGTATGTGTGTGTTACTATAAAAAGTATAAGTTTAATATAATTTTAATTATATATTAATTTCAATTTTAATATAATGTTCTCAACCGCTAATATGCTCTCAATTCCTTCAGGATCAGTGTTATTTAAGTATCTCTGATATACCAGTATATTTTTTATTCATATTTTGAATTAGTTTTTATTTGTATGTTTTCTCAATTAATCTTTAAGTTGTGCTATTTATAGTATAGTATAGAATAGAATAGAATAGAATAGTATTTTGTGTTCTGTAATGTTTATTAGCTTTTGTTTTATTTTAATTTCAGTTGTAGTTTAGCTGTTTTAGTAACGGTAAAAGTTTACTTTATAAAAGAAAAAAGAAAAAAAGAATTTGTCCTTTAAATTGAATTTTGAAATGCACTGAAATGACCATAAATTGCTGAGGCCCAGCCTAGTAGATAGAGCAAACACAGGGCCAGATATTATAATAGTACTAGCCGTATTACCAAGGGACAGAATTTGTGCCAAAATACCATAGTTTGAGTGGATAAACAACCTTTGACATCAGCAAAAAATATATATATATATATGAGAGGTGCTTTTTACTCCTCTGAATAACCGATTTAAATCAATTTATTTTAAGTCAATTTATTTTGATATGTACAATTATATGGCTAGCTGTATTTTATGTCAACTAATTGTTGCATTTTTAGATTGTTTTTTAGGACCAAGCCAGGGACCTATCAGCTGAGAACCACTGTTATTTACTTAGCATACAGTACGTTAACCAGAAAATAAGCATAGAAACATAGCACATTCATAGTATGTCCATAATTTGGCCATCCTCAAAATTGACAACATCAACAGCAAGTAAACACAGCACTATTTTTAGAGCATAGCGCTCTTATTGAAGAATATTGGAGCACACGACCATGAGTCCGTACCTGCAGGCTGGCTGCTATTCTTCCGTTTCAGCCATCTGTCTACGGTCTCCGCACTCACGCTTTCCAGCACAAACTCATCCAGCATTTGCGGGTGGAGGGAGAGATAAGCCTTCACTTTCTCATCCGTCAGACCTGCAACAGAGTGATCAAGATTAGATTCTTCCCCTCACATTCATTCACAAAAAAGAACATCAGCCCAGTGTGAAAATATCAGGATCTTGTCACTGCATGTCCACTTAAAGCATTAAAACAGGTCAGCCCCTGTCGCGGTTCAACATGGTTACACGTGGTTGTCCATTGTTCCTATTTCTAAAGAGAACATACCCATACTGGCAAAATATATGCATGGGTTTGTTCCATCTGAGAGTTACCTAGGTTATTCAAAGCTACCATTAAAAGAGGGGTGAAATAATAACTGCATTCAAAAAAAAAATGCCAGGCTTGATAACTGCATGTATTTTCCTTGTAAACAACAACAAACAGGGTATATAGGTATCTTAAGTGAGATTGTAATTCACAGAGAGTGTATATAGTCTGCCAGAAGGACACTACAAATGGCACAGGGAACAAGTTTGCAAAATATCACTTCACTGGAAACGGACATGAAAATGGACAGACGGCTTGGCATTTTTATTCAGCTTCATTCATGATGGGACTCGGGAGTAGTTACTAGACTGTTGTACTTGACTATAAAAGACAGCTTACATATACAAATTACACAAATTAAATTATATTGGACTGTCCTGTATACTGACAGCTGTTGGTACAGCTGCATGAAATTTTTATTTATTAGTCTTTTTTATGTTTTGTTCTGTTCATAAAGCAATCATATGAGAAGAAGATTTTAAGCTGTTGTTCACATTTAATTTAGCCAGTCAATTCAATTAAGAATTATTTTCTTATTTACAATGACGACCTGGCAGCTAAATATACAGCAGGTAAACTTTTATGCTACTTTCATACTGCTATTTTTTTGGCGGTTTACCTTACTATCTCCTTTAGTTAGTGCATAACAGACAAAAGGTGATGATATGGGCAATGGCATGAAAGTCCACGATGACATCTGCATTTTTGAGTGAATCATGACATTTAAGTAAAATTGTCACGTCATTCTAATCATGAACAAAACCAATTTGAAGGAGGTTTAGAGGATTCAGGCTAGATTGGAAAATTAAAAGATTGAATGAATTGAATAAATCTAATACACGGTTTGGTCATGTGACATATGCTGGCAAAAATTTTTTTACCTGCCTACACCACAATTTTTAATCACCACTTATGTACTGGGGTGCTGCAAGGCACTGTGCTGGGACCACTCTCATTATGCAGCTCAGTGTGTTTATAGTAATGGAGTCATCTCCAGCAAGCAAGAAGGTCCTTATAGAGACAAAGGAAGAAGATGGACAAGCTGACTGTGCTTAATAGGCAGTTAAGTGTTTGAGAGCTCACTAAGTGCTGTTGTTTATTGTCTTTGTTGTTGGGGCAAACATCTATTTACTAGGCCATTGCTGAAGCCAAGCATATTTTGGTTAGCGAACAACAAAACAACCTGTGCTTTTGTGGGTAGTTCTAGAACTACCCACAGTAGTTCTAGTAGTTTTTTAGGGTCTGCTTCTATCATGCTTAACCCTTGCAGCCCTTGCACCACTTCAATAAGTAATATTTAAATGTGTACAACTTTCTGCTAAATATAAATTGCAATTATTCATAAGCTACAAACAAAAAATGGCTAAAACCTCCAGGAAAAAACTATATTTCATATATATTGTACTCTTAAATTTCTTTCAAGCCTTCATAGACCCACTTCTACAGTCTACATCAGAGATCAAAAATTAGTGGATGGTGTCTTGTAGAAAATGTATTTACACAGAAATTATGCTGGTTTTCCTGTTTAGTATTTACTATTTACTAAATTTAAAAAGAATTATGGCTGCCAGCTTAAACATAATTCTGAGAAATTAAATGTGAAGTTCTTACATAAAAAAAACAGTGCAAGGTATGAATTAGAGGTCGACCGATTGATCGGCCAGCCGATTAATCGGCCGATTTTTGGCATTTTTTAATTAATCGGCATCGGCCGTTTGTGCTGCAAATTAGGCCAATTTTATAGGCAGGCGCATCTGTGGGCAGCTAAGCGTTGTTGCGGAACGCCGGAGAATCTCTCCCTGGCTGCGTGAGACGGAGCAGCTCACACTCTGCAGTCGCTTCTTGTTCACACACAGCTTCAGCTAATGATGGCAGGGCAAAACAGACCGTTTCGAAAGCGTAATTACGTTTTACCCTACTAGAATTGATGCCGGAACGTTATCATATTCATAAGTGCAAGTCATTTGCATGTGAAAGTAGAAACATATGCAATTCAGACTAAACTTCTGGGCTGATTAAAACGTGCACGATAACTTTCCTCATGAAATGTGTGTGTGGGTCCGACAATAGCCTCCACAATGTCATCGCTCGTGGCCAGCACACTCTTAAGCAGTTATGAGCAGCAGGCTGTGTAATATGTGTGAACTCTTTTATTTTTGTTATCACTTGGCCATTTGACTTACAGAAGTGTCCAGTGTTAACCATACATTGAGTTAAACAAATAGATTTTCCAAAAGGCTTATACTTCCTTGACTAAACTGAGCACTGCACGTTTCAAAATTAAAATGTAGCGCGGGTGTTTTTATATGAATGTATCTTTGAAAAGAACCGACCGTCTTCAGAAAAGCTTCTGTCATTTTCATTTAGTCTTTCCTGTAATGCCTGATAAAGTAGTGCTTATGTGATTACAGCCGTTACCGGGGAAACCGCTATATCTCCGCTCCAACAGCGCCTCCTGCTGGCAGATAATGGATTTGCATTTGCAAGTCTGTGAGAAACACTGGTGTCTGTCAGCAAACATAAACAAAAAGCATGCTTCAGAACTGCTTTGAGAAGGTGCTTAAGTTTTGAGCCATGAATTATTACTCTGAAATAGGCTACTATCTTGTATCCTGCAATAATCATTTACTAAAACTCACTTTTATGAGATGAAGGGGAAGAAGAAAAAAAAAGAAAATTGGCCAGATGTATCGGCCAAAAAAAATCGGCATCATATATCGGCCATCGGCTGCCCTGATTTCTAAATATCAGCATCGGCAGATGATGATTGCATCCAGCTGCCTGTCGCTGATCACAGCATGAGCATAAAAAGGCAGCAGGTGCAATGCATACCAGCTTTTCGCTTCGGAGCCCAGTAGATATAATTTAATAAATAATTAAATAATAATTAAATTTAATATATGTAATATATGACAACATCGTTCTGCTCCTGCCAATATCTTCATTGTGACGACGAGTTCAACGTGCTCTAGGGAGCTTTTTGTGTTGGCGGTCGGGGCTTCAGCAGTGGTTGTTCCTGTGTCGAGTGGGTTGCGCACTTCAGGCTGCACTACCCCCTGCTGTGCTGCAAGTGGCCATCTCGGCACATAAAATAGCATTTCCCAGAAAGAGCTTATTTCTCTAAAAGAGCTTACACGGGTGGGTCTTTGTAAAGAAGACGGATCATCTTTTTAAAGATGCCATTTCACCCGTGCGTTTCTGGATGCGGTCGTTACCTGGTGGCGGGTGAGGGTAAAGATCGCTGCCTCACGTGTCTGGGCATTAAACATGCTGAGGTGGCATTCGTGGATGAGTCATGTTCCCATTGCGGGAAGATGACCATCTCGGAGTTGCGGACCAGGCTCTGTTACCTCCAGGGGAGCGGAGCTCCGTTGCCTCTGCCACGATCTGGTGTTTGTCCTGGCGGCAGCCAGGCAAGGACTACTTTGGGCAGTAGCACGGGCGGTCTGAGGGTTACAATGGTGGCAAACCCCTCAGGGAACCAACTCTCGGGGGACCATCACTCCTCTAGCGCTTCGCAACCAGTTGAGCCGCCAAAGGAACACGCTGGGCCTTCTTCGAAGAGTGTACAAGCGGTATACTTTGGTGCTCCTCCAGGCGACTGGATGTCGATCACTGCATCGGAGGGAGAGCTCTCTGGAGAGGAAGAATCGGCTGCGCTGCCACCCTCCGGGATGGTGGCAAGGCCTGAATCGGATCCGGGGATGTCGGCTATGCATTCCCGGGTTGCCGAGAGGGTAGGGCTTGAGTGGAAAGGGGTCTCGCGCTGGTTCTCAGCACCCCGCTTCGGTGCCTTTCTTCCCAGAGGAGCATGAGGAGCTCACCAGGTCATGGACGGCACCTTTTACTGCCAGAAACCGACCTGCTGGTTCCTCCTCCCTCACCACCCTCAACGGGGGTGCAGCTGAGGGGTATAGGCGATCCCACCAGTGGAGCGGTCGGTAGTGAAACGGTTGTTTGTCCTAAGACCACCTCCTCCTGGTGGGGAAACGCGTCACTCCCCTCCCGGGCCTGAAGGCATTCGTCTGGTCTGACCGGCGGTGCTTATATGGCTTGTGGAGAAGCTGTCTCCACCTTACATGCTATGACGTTACTGCAGGTTCATCAGGCAAAGACACTGAAGGACCTGAACAAGGGTGGTCACGATCCGGAAGTTCTGAAAGAGCTCTGAACCACTACTGACCTGATAAAAGAGCAGTTTTCTCTATCTCTGGGTCCCAAGAGGGCACAGAGAGTCACGGACGGACCAACACCAGACCACACTCATCCTCTTCTGTAACCAGCAGGCAGCAGCGGGTGGTTTGAGTGCGTTAACAAAGGCCCTACTCACGCACCCTCTGCCCTACCGTGGAACCAGTTGCCCCGCACACTCAGATCCCTCTTCGGTCTGCCCACGAGCTGTCCGAGTTGGGTCCCTGCGTTCTACCTCGTTGCCCCACTGCGGGTATGGCGGTGGTTCCGCTGGTCTCGCTTGCACGGTATCTGGGTGCCTGGCTAGCGCTACCCAGCCCGTCTCGCTGGCTTCTGCGGACCATCAGCCTCGGCTATGCGATTCAGTTCGCCCGGCGTCCTCCCAAGTTCAGTGGCATCTGCTTCACAGCAGTGAAGGTGGCTCCTATCTTGCGTGCAGAGATTGCAGTCCTACTGGCGACAGGATGCGATAGAGCCCTCTATCCTCTAGGGCAGGCGTGTCCAAACTCGGCCCTGGAGGGCTGGTGTCCTGCAGAGTTTAGCTCTAACCCTAATCAAACACACATCATTCAGCTAATCAAGCTCTTACTAGGCATACTAGAAACTTCCACGAGCAAGTTGGAACTAAACTCTGCAGGACACCGGCCCTCCAGGACCGAGTTTGGACACCCCTGCTCTAGGGAGCCCTTGAGTCCCTGAAGCCGATATGAAGACAGGGTTTTATAGCCCCTACTTCATTGTACCCAAGAAAGGCGGTGGGTTACAACCAAT